GGGGCAGTAGGAAGCAGGTGGGGCTGTCCCTAAAGCTCCCCTAGGTCCCCGGAGAAGAGGTGACAACAGAGAAGGGATGGGGTCTGGAGCTAGGGGCTCTGTGGATGTCCCGCCCTGAAAGCTGCTCTGGGTAAGCCGAAACACAGCCAGGGGTGTAACCCTTAGGCTGGAAGAGTGCACAGCTGGGGTTGGCAGTGACAGCGCAGCCTCAGATTCATCGGAAGGCCTGGACTGGCCATTCCTACGCCTTGCTGGTTGTCAGAGCTTCCCCGGCCCCAGGTAACCTAACCTCACAGACATCCATCACCTCTGAAACAGGTTTAACCTTACCCCATGCCACGCCTGCATGTCATGTATTGGGGTTTGTTCTTAGGGAATAACTGTGGTCAGCCCAGGCAGTCTGTGTCGCTGAGCCGCAGCTGCCACCCAGCCCTATCATATTTCTTTCGGCAGCTCCTCTCATTTGAACAGCCTGTCTGAGCCCTGAAAGGCCTCCTGGGTGAGAATTCTGATCTTGTTCCACACACAGGAGCTGGGACCCTATAGGGACTGGAGTTATATTCACTGAACTTACTGAGATGGTGTATGTGTTTGCCTGTGTGTCTGTGTGTATGCTGCTGCTGTTGTTTCTCTGACTTATTCCCAAGTCATTTCTATAGCCAAGCCGCCTCTGATCACCGCCCTCTGTATAAGGCTCCCCCTAACCCCTTTCATTCTTCATTCTCCTCTCTTACTGCCTGGCTATCACGGTGTGTACAGCTTGACTCTGTCTGTGCCCCACAAAAGCAGGGTCTGACTCCGGGTTGTACCCCCAGCACCAAGAACAATAATCATCACTCCACAAATCTAGTGAAGAAACGGGGTGAGGAAATGGGACACGGATGTCTCTGCCCAGAACTAGACGCCCACTCCTCTGCCATGTCCCCCACTTGTTCATGGGCCACGCTGGAAGAAAATCTCAGCCCCACAGTTCCTGGGCAGCTGCCCCGGCCGGGACAGGAACTCTGAGCTGAATATTCCATCTGTGGAGGGGGTGAAGTCACCATCCATGAGCCACCCCCGCTCCTCCCAGATCTGACCCATCAAGCCTGGAGTCTCAAGTTCAAAGAGACCACAGCCTGGGTATGCAGGATGTGACTTTGTGGGTTGTGGGTAGGTCATGGTGTCTCTCAGGAAATGTTCTCAGGTAGAAGGAAAGGGAAGAGGGGTGAGGAAGGTCACAGAGGGGCGCAGAGTGGACTGCAGTGGGGACAAGTGGGTTTCCGTCAATGAGAAATAATGACAGTGCGTGCTATTCTCTAAAGCAGCACAGATGAGTGTTCACATGAAGCCTGTCCAGGCAACACAGGTGCTTAGCACACAGGAGACAAGGACCTAACGCCCTAACACCCCCCACCCCGGCAGGGACCTGTGGATGACCAGGAGCCCAGGTAGAGGCAAGGTGGCCTATGTGCAAAAAGCCTCTGTAAGATAGAAGTGTCTCCTACCATACCCCTGCCCACCCCTCCACAGCTCTTCTTTTCCCTCAAGCCTGAGAGTGACCCCTTGGGGAAACCAGGTCCTGCTGCTCCCTGCCCTGCCCATCCTGGCCAAGAGCACAGCCAGGCCATGATCTGTTTGAACCTGGGTCTTCAGGCTTGGCTGCAGCTTAGCACCTGGAATTGCTGGGAAAGCCAGATGAGTGAATACATGGAAGAGTCTTATAAACTGCCCGGCACAGGGAGAGGTTGATCTGCGTTTACCAGTATGGAAGACCTCAAGGTCACTAGCGCTGCCACTCTGTCATGTCATTGCCATCATCTTTCAGATGGCTTCTTCTTATACACCAACCACCTTCCTCCTCTTCTCCCTACCCTCTCTCTTCTATCCATCCATTCATCCATCCATCCATCCATCCATCCACCCATCCATCCATCCATCCATCCATCCATCCATCCATCCACCTACCCATCCATCCACCTACCCATCCATCCACCTACCTATCCATCCACCTACCCATCCACCCACCCATCCATCCACTTACCCATCCATCCACTCACCCATTCATCCACCCATCCATCCATCTGGTCACTCATTCATCCCTCCATCTGTCTGTCCACTCATCCCTCTGCTAGTCTATCCACTTGTCCATCCATCCATCCATCCATCCATCCATCCATCCATCCATCCATCCATCCAATCTTCCTCGGTGGAAGCCTCTAGGCTTTGGACAAACTTACTTTATATTCCTTACTCTATTTATAGGAATAGACACTTTTCTGTTGTTAGGTGGGCTTCGACAAAATGACTTGGGGTCCTGGTTCTTTTGGCTTGGAGAAGGGTTGTGGAAAGGCCACTGCTGAAGTTTTGCTGCCGGTGGTAAACTGAGGCAGAGCCTTGATACCTGTTAGGTATAATGAACATCTAAAGTCAGAAATACTACACTCAGGTGTGCTGGAAGCAAGGAAAATCATTCCTGAAAAAGGAACCAAATAAAAGTTTATGGCAGCCGGGTGCATTGACACACTCTAGTAATCCCAGCACTCAGGGAGGCAGAGGCAGGAGGAGCTCTGTGAGTTCAAGGCCAGCCTGTTCTACAAAGCAAGTACAAGACAGCTAAGGTTACACAGAGAAACCCTGTCTCAAACAAACAAAAACCTTTGTGGCATTTTCCTTTGTTTCCTGGCTTCCTAACCAGGCTAACAGTCCCTGGGGCAGGACCCTCCACTGGGCTGGCAGGGCGCCCTCCTTCAGGAAATGACTCTCTCTGGCTTTGCTGTCCCCTGCCTGTGGACTCTTGGTTGTGAGTTTGCTGCTTGGGAGGCATGCCCTGTGGCTCCAGACACTGATCCTCACCATGAAGGGGACATGCCACCCACCCTCTCCAATCTGCAGTCCTGGTGTGCCCTCTCCATGTTTACGACAGAATAGCCAACCCCTAGACCCTTCTCCATCTATCTAACCAATATACCATCCCTTTGGTTACTTGGACCCCAAACGCCATGGCCACCCCTGCGTTCTTCCTCCTATGTCACTTCCAGTTCATGTGTGGATGTCATCAGCTGCATTGTCTTCAAGATACTCCCAGAATCCCATTCCCCTCTCCACCGACATCCCAGGACCAAGGTACCAACACCTCTGCCCAGAGGGTGGCGAGCCTGCAAGCCTCCACTGTCACATGCCTCTCTTTTGTCCCTGAGAGACACCTATTTCCTGGACTGTCCAGTCCTCAGAGCAGGGAGCCTGGCCTGCTCTGCTTCTCCCAGGGGCCGAGGGCAGGAGCCCAGCAACACCTGTGAGTTCAGGCCATCCCGGGAACCATCACCGCACACATTCAGAACCTATCTCTTTTCTTCTTCTCCCTCTGTTCCTTCTTCCTTCCCCTTCCTTCCTTTCTTGTTGGAAACCCAGACTGAAACTCACTATAAAGCTCAGGATGATCTTGAACTCCTGATCCTCCTGTCGAGGTCTCAGACATTCACTGCCATGACACCCAGTTTTATGTGGCAGGAAGGAAAGAACGAAGGAAGGAAGAAAGGAAAGAAGAAAGGAAGGAAAGAGGAAGGGAGGGGAGGAAGTAAAATTACAAAACCATTTCAATAGTCTCCACGTCTGTGCTTGTGTCTGTCTCTCATACGCGCAGATGCACACACATGACCAGAAGAATATATATCAAAATTAACAGAAACATGCTCTATGTAACTTTTATTTTCTTCATGTGTTCCCTCGGCTCATTTTCAACTTTAGAGAAATACATTTCCTTGAATAAGAAAACGACATTGAAGACGGTGCACAAACAGGTTTGTGTAGATCGTAGATCATAGCCATGTGACACCATGTGGCCCCAGCTTTGCTCTTTGCTTGTGGGAAGGCAGGGTGAGATACCTGACAGGGCCTCCATTCTCTACAATCACAGCAGGACAGTTCCGACCCTCCTCACAGGGCCACTGGGGGGATGAAAGACAAGTGAGCTGGGCATGGTGGCACACACCTTTAATCCCAGCACTCGGGAGGCAGAGACAGGCGGATTTCTGTGAGTTCGAGGCCAGCCTAGTCTACAAAGCAGGGCAGCCAGGTCAGTTACACAGGGAAATCCTATCTTAAAAAAAAAAAAAAAAAAAAAAAAAGGCATGCAAATGAAGGGATGGTAGGGAACCAGGGCGTCTCGACCTAACACTGTGAGGCTCTGGTCAAGACCCTCCTGCCCCATGGCTGGTTCAAAGGTGATCACCTACTCATTTGTGCCCTCTGACTTCCGGGCACCAGGGCATCACCTCATTGTATGACAGATTTGTGTGCAGGCCACTCTGCCATTCGCTAGCAATGTGATTAGACACCTGAATAGCCACCAGCACATCTTTTAGACCAGGCTAACCCCCATCTGCTGCCCTGAACTCTCATCCTACAGATGAGGTCTCTGTGTTATAGCAGCTGTCACACAAATGGGGCAACTGAGTCAAGGAGGAGCCTAAGTGGCTGTTTGCCCTCAGTGGCTCTGAGTGTCAGGGCTGGGATTTGAACCACACAGTGCTCCTCCATTGAGCTGACCCTGAAGAATGGATCGCCGCACACAGGAGACAGGATCTACAGATTGTTTAGCTGGTTCCTGGCACGAGCCCCCATGAAGGCTGTCACAGTGTGGGCTCAGGCACCGAGAGTCTACAAGTAGGAAGGTTAGGGACCCCGTGAGCTTCCTGTTGGCCGCCGAACCTGGGTATCCTCAGGTCCTCTCCACACCCCACAGAGCCTCCGACACCTCCTACCCAGCCTCCTAGATTGACAGCCCATGACTTAGGTGACTGGGCGTGCAGCCAGGAGGTGGGGACTAAGCTCAGGCAGGCTCCCCAGGTTGCAAGGTGAAATTAAAAGGGAGGAGAGAGCACCAGCCCATCAGAACGCACGCTCCTACCCAGCAGCCAGGTGTCCCCCAAGAAGAGCTGGGGAGCCGGGGAGGCAGCCGGGGCCTGTGGCTGCTGGGTACCCAAGCTGACCCAACCAGGAGGCTGGGAGCTGGGCCCAAGATGGCCCCACGGCGAGCTGTACGACTGTCCCCGAGGGAGCCTGCTCACGCCGTGTGTGTGGTAGGCGTGGAGACGCCAGTGGATGTCCGCAAGTGAGAGCCGGGAGACTCCCCTGTGCTTAGCTGGGGGGTGGGCAAAAGGGGAGGCTGGCAGGGCGATGTTTGCACACCAGTGGAGGCGGAGCTGGCTTCAGGGCTGAGGAGGGAGGGGAATGGGGTCTGCTCAGGTGCACTGGGTCCAATCCCTAGATGAGGGTGTCCTCAGAAGACGACCCTGAGTCCTGGGACCTGGTTCTACATGCCGGTCTTCCCAGGGAGCAGTAGAAGGAACTGGGGCTTGAGCCAGGGAAGAGGGTTGGGTTGGCCCCCCTTCCTCCCCTCCGTGGCCTGCCAATTTTCCACCTCTCTGCGGTTAGGGGTGTGCATGTGACATCTTGACCCTTGGAGGCCAGCCAGGGACAACCAGAGTGACTGGGATTAAGAGGGAGTGGCCAAGGGATAACTCAATGACTTAATCTAAGAAGCAATTCTGGACTGAAGCCTGGGACTTGAGGTGGCAAGAGATGATGATGGCAAGGATGATGATGATGGCAAGGATAATGGTGATGGTGGTGGTGGTGATGGTGGTGATGGTGACTGTCACAGAGGCCATGACGGCGGTAGTGACAGCAGCAATAGTGACATCTAACTAGGATAGCTGTGACATCAGTTTCCTCCATTGGCCCAAATCTTCCCTGTCCTGGCTCTGCTTAGACAGGAATGCAGGGTCCTGGTGCAGCCTCAGTTGTTTACTTGGCCACTGGGAAAGTTGGCTATGGTGCTGTCTGGGGTCTGTGGATCTCTAGGTGGGAGTGTCTTATGTAGGAAGCTGAAGGCTGGGACTCCTCAGGCACCATCTGAACCTTGAGGCTCAGTCCCTGTGCTTACCCAGCCAGGTGGGCAAATGCCATACCTGCTGCCTGGCTGAATTGCACTGCTGCTTTATCTTACTGTCCTAGTCTCAAGCAGCAGTGTAGGGTCCCAGTGACATCGATGGGGAGGAACAGGAGGTCGGGCTGGTCTCATCAGACCTATGTGACTAGTGGGATCATATCCACTCCTGTCTGTTTATCGTAGCATTCTAGATTTAATGAATAAGGAGACCATTGAGTGGAGAGGAGGGAGAGGGGATGAAAAGAGAGAGACAGAGATAGAGACAGAGGATTTCTTGGTGCTTCCTGAGGCTTTGTGCATTCTAGGCAAGTGTTCTAGCCTGGGACCAGCCCCCTATAACTTTTTTAGTGATGGCGTGAACTGAGCCTGCAGCCTGCAGTTTAGCTGAAGCTCAGCTGAATCCAGCCTTCCCGAACTGCATCTGGCAGATCTGATTTGACACCGTTATCAGGGTAGAGGAATCCCTGGGTCCCACCTGCCTGATTCCAGGACCCTGCTCCCCCCTAGGGACAAGGTTGTTTCTAGAAGGTCCTTTCAAACCTCACCCCTATGTTATTCTACTAAGGCAGTGGGCAGGGAGCTTTTGGACAGAGCCCCTGGCTCCTCACTGCCCTGTGCTCTGAATGCCGATTGGATGAACTGGGCACCCTGTGAGGTTCAGCGTGGAGGTCATGTATACAGCTGATACATCTTGGTCCTGTTTGATCCCTGGGCGTGTGGCCTTGGGCATGCCACTGCTCTTCTGTGAGCCTGCCTCTGCCTCTTGGAGTCAATGGGTACACACCGGTACCTCCATCGTGGGTTGGGGGTAAATGAGACACGCATGTGCAGAACCCTTTCCGTGGCAGATGACTGAGAGGCTGTGCCAGCGGTGGGCACCTCCCACATCTGTTCTTCCCTTTGCTCTTCCGAGGTGGGGGGAGGGGACAAGGACAGCACAGAGTATGTGGTGGAACGTCCTGCAATGTTGCCAGCGCAAATGAAGGCAGAAGGACCTGCCTTGGATGAGGTGTCCATTGACTGGCTCTGCGAAGGACTGCAGCCGCACTCTGTACCCTGAGTGATGACCAGCATCACAGCTACCCAGGGTTTGCTTTGTGACACCGAGGAGGGCTCTCCTGCCCAGAAGGCAATGGCAGTGGGGAAAGGTGTGGTTTCCAGGAGCCTCAGGCTTCCCTCGGGGCTGGGATGGATCCAGGCCACACTTGTTGATGAATGATGAACTTGGGGCTCCCCACCTCACCCCTCTGCTTGGTGACTGGCTCCAGCTGAGGCCAACCAAGGGGCTCAGAACTGGTCTTGCTTGCTGATAAGCCTGGGGAAGGCCCCTCAAGTGTGAGGTGTGCCGGTCACCTGAGCTGCCCAGAGTTTGAGCCTCCAGGTGATGGTGTGTGAGGTGACGTTAGAGGAAGTGATTAATCCCCCAGGGGCCATATGGCCTGGCTATTTGGAAAAAAAAGAAATGATTGTATGTGGGGTTAATTGTGTGCCGTGGGGCAACCAGACTCTGCAGGTGTGGTAGACCATCCCCCACTGGGCTAGCTCAGACTCCTGTATCCTCATAGGCTATCTCAGCACCCTGAGACCTATCCTGCAGTGGGCTATCTCACCACCTTGACTCCCATCCCCAATAGGCTACTTCGGCATCCTGACACCCTCACCCCAGTGGGGCTACATCAACACCCTCACCTCCCTTTCCACAAGGCCAAATGGGATCTTCAGGCCCTAGAGCTCTGGGATGTGGGCACAGATGGGTCATCATGAGCCTCTCAGATGAGCTACAGGAAGGACCAGGCCTGGGCATCTCTGGGGCTTTCCTGAAGTCCAAAACCAACAGTGCCCCGAGGTGTGTCTGTCTGACTTTAGGTAAATGCTCTCAGCACTCACGGGAGGATGGGGAGGCAGAGCTGGGCTGGGTGGCCAGAGAGGTAATTATAGGATTGATGGGATTCTAATTCGAGGGACTGACAGGCTGCAGGCGCCGCTGGGACCAGGCTGGGCACCCTATCTCACTGCTCCAGCCTGTTGTCCTTGTACCTGCAGGAGGAAGAGTGAGTGCCCTTATGTGGAGGTGATGCTCAGACGCTTACATTTTTGAGCTCCCGGGCTATGTGAGGCCACCGAGAAGAAAGCCCATTTCGGTTCCCTGATGGCCTGGGGGCTACCAGAGGTGGGACAGTGGATGGACAGTGGGTATCGTCACAACATAGAATGTTGGCATCGGACAGGATGTGGGGATGTCCTGTCATTCCACCACTTAGGAGGCTGAGGCAGGAGGATTGCAAATCCGAGGCTAGTCAGACCAACTGAGTGAGGCCCTGTCTCAAAACTGAAAGGTGCAAAGAGACCTAAGGGCTGGGATGGGGGTGGGGAAGATAGCTCAGTAGTAGAGCAGGAGGCCCTGGGTTTAATCCTTGGTACTGTCAAAACAGAAGGCCCTTTATTGGTATTGGCCTCAGAGGGCTGTTCTCCCTGGTTCCACAGACACAGCTCCTCAGCACCTGCTTGCCACCTACCACGCTGAGCTGGCTGGAGGTCCATCCCTCTGGCACCCACAGGCTTCTTCTTCCTGCCACTTGGATTCTAATCTGTGACTTGTTCCTTGGGTCCTCTCCTCTTGGGTTCTCAGCAGCTTAACATTCAAGCCCTTGTTCTTCTCTCTCTCTCTCTCTCTCTCTCTCTCTCTCTCTCTCTCTTTCCTGGACCCAAATCCTTCTGCCTGTCTGGGAACAAGGCAGGGAAGGGCTGTGGCCAGCCAGGTCCATCGCCTGCCTTCCTGAACAGAGGAACTGGAGGGGGATGCCTCCTTATCGTTAGAATGCATCCTCCTGATGGGTGTGCCCTCCTTCACCGTTCCCTCCACCCATGGTCCAGACCCCCAGGATGCGTGGGATGGGGAGACTGCCAAGCTGGAAGAGGATGCTATACAATTGGAGGGGACAGGGATGGAACTCAGCTACAAGTGGGAGAGTCCAGGAGGATTCCAAAGCCGCTAGCCAGTAGCACGTAAGTCTGGGGCTGGCACTGAGAAAGCTGGGACCTGTGAATACTGGCAAAGTTGGCCTCATAGAAGAGACAGATCTGTGTTTGGTCCTCTGAGTGCACCCTGAGCCCCAGGGCAGGACCCCAGCCATTCAAGTGAGCCCCATACATTTGACCAAACTGTTCCTGGCTTAGGTCTCTGGGCATGGTGTTATCTAGGCTGGGGTGAAGGTAGGTCCCTATTCCACAGGGGACTCTGCAGAGGGGCAGTAGGCCTGCTGTGAGCCAGGTTGGCTGCCAAGGCTCTGGACTTGGGTGAATGTGGACCCGACCTCTAGACTTAGTGAGGAAAGAGGAGGGCTAAGTTTTCCCCTCCCCCATTCTGGGCTGCACTGATAGGAGGAAGCGCCCAGGGGTGGCCAACTTGGTGGCTTCTCAGAACAGGATAGCTGGGGGTCTTACTGGTCCTTGCAGGCTGTGTGACCTTGGGCCAGTCACTTAGTCCCTCTGAGCTCGCTTTCTCTCAGGCTAGCTAGGGCGGGGGGTGACATCATATTGTGTGCCTGTACAGTCGGCATCCCTAGTTCTCCCATTTTACTAATGAGGAATTTCATCACCCACAGGCCTCAGACCTACTTGGAAGCAAGGGGAATGTGACTCGCTGCACTGCCTTTAAATCAGGGCCCTTTCTCTTGGGGTGCTTTGGTCTCAGGCTTCACTCTTCCCCTGCTTTGAAGAATAGGGAGTGACAGCTGCCACCCGAGCCCCTGTATCCAGTATGGGGAGGCTGCCTGTCTCAGGCTATCCTCCTGGGCTTGCTAGGCAGCCTGCCCTGAGCAATGACAGGGTGGTGCAAGGTGGCCGTGAGCCGGCGATGACTATCTCTGAGAAGGAGAGGTCACAGCCACACCCTATATGGTGCAGACCTTAGCAAAGTGTGTAAATATGATGCCGGGCCAGCCATGGCCCTCCATGACCCCTGCCAGCTCCAGACAGCTAAAAGAGGGCAGAGGGAGAGCATCGAGGCTGGCTGGTGTCTGAGTGGCACCTCCCAATGGAGGGCCCCCTCCCCAGATCTGGTTGAAGGGCCTCCTGCTACCTCCCTGCCCCGTCACTCACACCTGCTTTTCTGAGTGAATGGATATATATTGTCCTCTGGAAGGAGAGGGCGTGTGTGT